GGGTATTTTGATAGGGCTTGCATTAAATTTGTAGATGGCTTTGGGTAGTATGGCCATTTTAATATTAAGTCTTCCAACCCAAGAGCAAATGGATATCTTTCCATTTCTTTGAGTCATCTTCAATTTCCTTTATCAATGTTTTATAGTTTTCAGCATATAGGTCTTTCACCTCCTTGGTTAAGTTTATTCCTAGGTTTATTCCTAGGTATTTTTTCAATGCAATTTTAAACGAGATTGTTTCCTTACTTTTCTTTCTGATATTTCATTATTAGTGTAAAGAAATGCAAAAGATTTCTGTATATTAATCTTACATCCTGCTACCTTGCCGAATTCATTGATTAGTTCTAGTAGTTTTCGTGTGGAAACTGTTCTCTATATAGAGTATTATATTATCTGCAAATAGTGACAGTTTTACTTCTTCCCTTCTGATATGATACCTTTTATTTCTTTATCCTGTCTGATTGCTCTGGCTAGGACTTCCAATACTATGTTGAATAGAAGTGGTGAGAGTGGGCCTCCTTGTCTTGTTCCTGAATTTAGTAGGAAGGCTTTCAGCTTTTCACTGTTGGTTGTGGATTTGTTGTAAATGGCTTTTATTATGTTGAGACATGATCCTTCTATACCCACTTTGGTGAGATCAAGATTCTTAACTTACATCTGCAAAGTCTCCTTTACCATTGTAAGATAATATTCACAGGTTCCAGAAATTAGGATGGGGGTATTGGAGGGGGTGCATTATTCAGCCTACCACAATGCCTTTCTAAAGTGGCCAAGGCAGCAGCCTCCTAGCTGGTCAGTTCTGTAGTATTCTGGGAGTCATTCCTGGAGACCCAGCCTCAAACCTGCTCCTTCAGCCCTTCCAATGATTTTGTAAACACCCAGGACGCTGAGTTCAACCTCTTTCTGCTTAAAATACAGTAGCTTCTGTTTCCTACACCCAACCAAGACTAAAATACCAATTATCCTTCAAGTCTCAGTTCAAATGTCACCATCTTTGGTAAGCCTCCCCCAATTCCTCCAAGGTTCCTTCTTCCTACTCTGGACCCCACAGGTCCTCCTAGATCAGACCTCCCTAGTGGATCATGGCCTCTCTATCCAGCTACAGCACGGGATCAAACATAAAGGAAGGCTTCATAGAGAAGTGAACCAGAGGCCATCAGCTGAGAGCAACTTCCTAAGCATTAAGCCTTGGATGTGGACTGAGGCAGGCGTGGCCTGGGAAGGACTGGGATCAGCCAGGGTGGAGCCAGGCTACCTGGGAATCTAGCAGCACAAGGAGGGAAGCCTGGAATAGGAACGCCACCTCAACCTTGCAAAACTCCCGGGGCTCAGAGGAAAAACAAAAGGAATCTTCAGATACAGAAGCAAGCCAGCAGCTGGACACACGTGAAACAGTACATTTTTCAGCTCTAGGGCTGCTGTCCAGTCTGGGGCTTCATGGCCCTGAATTCAGAAATGCAGAAACAATGGCACGTGACAGAAGGGACAGGCCCTGATCCACAGGAGAATGTGGAGGGTCAAATCTAGAAAACAGCCAATAAGCAGAAGCTGAATCTCCCTTGACAAGGCAGAAAAGGAAACAGGCCAAATGATGTCCTCAGTCTATGGCAGGCCCTTACCCGACCTCACCTGGCACAGGGCAAGCAGTCTGGCCCCAGAACCCAGAAGGGCATGCCCATGCCTGGGTGTAAATGGAGCAAGCAAACTGTTCCTTAAAAATGTCAGATGCATGCAACGCATCAAAGAAGACTCTGCATGCCACCTTAGATGACGTGAATACGAAGATGGGACAATAGGGAAAGACAGCCCTGCAGAACACCACCTCCACTGGCAGGCAAGAACTAAAGAGTCCAAACTAGAAAGTGCAGAGGTTCTGTCCTGCCTGTGGCTGTTGTGTGCTGCGACATCAGGCAGACCCCATGCCCTCCCTGGGCCTCAATCTCTTCCATCTGTACAGTGGGAACGGCAGACTCCATGCCGAAGGGTTTAGGGAAATAAGGAAAACAAGAGAGCGCTGTGCAAAGTAGGGGGTTAGAAAGGGCAGAGGAGTGGGAGATGCAGATCCTGCATCATGGCAGGAAAGAGGCTCTGCCTGAGGAGGGAGGTCTGGGAGGCCTGGGGTGTCACTAATGAGGTCCCAGCAGACAGGGCTGGGCATGAGTGAGCTTAAGGAACCAGCCCTCCTCCATTCTGACACTAGGCACACTTCAAGTTAATAATTAAAATGCTTCCTGTCAGATTCCAGCCTGACACATAATTAGAGCAGCTCCAGGCTTTAGGCAATGGTGATGAAAACAGTTCTTGTTAGAAAGAGGCTTTTCTGGGGTTGAGCTGGGTGACGATAGAACCCTCCTCCCCGGGTTTTGCCATCACGGCCTCCCTCCATCTGCATTCCAGATAGATACAGACAGGGGTTTTCCTTCCAGCCTGGGGAGGGGTGGAGGTGTGAGAAGGAGCATCCATTTCCCCATCTGCCTGCACCAGAGGGGGTTGGACAAGGTGCATCTAGCTGACATGAGAGGACAGCGCAGGGGTCTGTGCAAGGAGGGCAGGTGGGGACTCCTTGGACTTTCAAAGGCCAGACAGAAGAATCTGGGGCCAGCTGCAAATCCCGAATGCCACCCCAACCTGTGTATACAAGGTATTACTATCATATCCTGTCTTCCCAGGACTGCTGGGGAGTAGCTGAGCTCAGCCACCAACTCTTCAGTGGGCAAAGCAGCCCAGGCCCCTCCCCACCAACCCATGGCATCCGTCACTTCCTTCTAGAGCAGAGCCCTTCCTATCAACAAAGTGGGGCATGGACCCAGGAGTCCTAGCTCCCAGCCCCTGGGCTTCTCAGCCCCCCAGGAGCAAAGCTTGGAGGGGCTGTCCATGGTTCCAGAGACACTTCCAGTTTTCAGGCTCTTCCCCTATCAGGAGTTGTCCCAGAGCCTCATCCAGTCGACTCCTTCCTCCAGAGTCCAGCCCCTGAGCCCTATCAAACCATCCTACCTCCTCATCTGCCACCAGGCCTGGCCCCCCAAGAGGGGGAAGGGAGCACCACCGCTTAGCTCATTCAGGGAGAGCCGTGAGTGCCAACCCTGGGGCTTCACCCTGAGGGGTCTGCCTTCAGGAGCTTAGCAATCAGCGCTCATGCCAAAGCTACCTGTTAGAAGAAGAAAATCATTTTAGAGTAATGTTGTGTTGCTTCATTGAAGTTTCCTTCGTAAATATTTTAAATGTGTTTATTAGGAAAACCACAAGATCAGAGAAGAGGCTGCTGAGGCTGGGAGGAGAGATGGCTTGTGAGGTCTCAGCCACCCCTGCCACCACCACCAATGAAACATCTGCTCCCTCAGAGGGGCTGGCCCTGTGGGGCCTGCAAAGAGGGGAAGCCCGCGTTGTTGGGCTGCCCTCCCTGCCTTGTGAAGGTGGGTGCTCTGATGCCATGTTCCTGTCCTCAGATTGAACCCCAGAAGGCAAAATAACAGAATCCGATGGACCCAGCGCTGAGCTGGGGCAAGAGCCCTCCTCTGAATGCTGCTCTGAGTTGCTGGGCAACTGCTCCCCTTCTCTGACTCAGTGGTACAGGGGAAAGAGGTAGGAGGTCCCTTCCTGGGCAGGCTGAGGTACTCAGGTTTGTGGATGCTGTCCTTCACTCTCCTCCCCCCGACTCCTGCATCTACTCCCTTCTCCCCATGCACATACCCATCCAGAGCCACATCAGACCAGGAGCAACAGAGCCAGAGCAGGTACACAGAGCCAGACAACCATCCCCAGGAGCCCCTCAGCCCAGGCATCTCAGCCTAGCCTTGCCCCACTCCAGTGGGCAGGGAGAACCCAGCTCAGGAACCTGGACAAGGGGTAAGAATGGTGTCTCCTGCCCCATTATCCCTCTGTGGGGGTGGGGCAGGGATGGAGGTGCCATGGCTGCCTCTGACACAGCTCCTCTCCTTGGGTAAGAGCCTCTTTCTCTTCCGCAAGCCAAAGCCAACAAGCCAATTAAACCCTGGGAAAGCAGAATTGATCTGCAGGCCAAGGGATTACATTGATCTGCAGTGCTGGTACCCAGGGGGCCATGGCTGCCTCCCCCTCGAGCCTGGAAGCTCCTTCTACTGCCATCTTCAGCTGAGCAATGAGCAATCCTCCCCATGCGCATCTCTGTCCTCCCGCACCCCTCCAACCCTGCCACACCCTGTCTGACTGCCTATCCCCTCTCTGTCGGTCTGGGCTGAGCCTGAGGCCATCTGTTCAGACCTATTCATTCACATCACGTAAGTGCAGGTGAGGTGACAGCCATGAAGCCTCTGTCCTTTGGGCGATCTCTCTTCATCTCAGTCAACCAGGGAAGGGGGCTACTGCTCTTGACCTCAGTTTGCAGTTGTGACCTGCAAGGACACAGAGTACCCAGCACCCCAAGGGTTAGCCGGTAGCCTTCCCCACACAGAGCGTGGGAGTGGGTGAACACGAAGCTTAGGGAAACTTCTCTGGTAAATAAAAAAAGAGAATGACTCGCAATTACCATATCAATTGTTTCTGGGTAAATAGGTGCTGTCTAAGAGATTTTTAAAATAGATTATTCCTTTAAATAGGTTAAGCACCCTTTGGCAGCCTCATTTACATTATTCATTTGCTGGGAAATCCTTTTTTCGGGGATGGTGCAGAAATAAACTTCAACCTCAGTCTGAATTCCATTCAGAGACTGGATTAATGTGGTTTGGGTGCTTCCCTGCCAGCAATGTACCAGAGGACAGGGGCTGCTCTGTGCTGTGGGCTGGGTGAGGGAAATCCAGACCTGCTCCAGGGAGGATATGAACTCCCAGAGAGCAGCGAAGGAGCCAGGGCTTTATTATGGCTGTGAAACACCGAGATGCAGTCAGGAATCCAGGGGGATACACAGGAGGGAGTACATAGGATTTCCATAGGCAGAGAAGAGAGAGGGCAGACCCAGTGGAGGAAGAGCTTGAGCAAAGGCTTTTATAAACAGGACTGAATATGATGTATACAACTTCTTCCGCTCCGTCAATCACCTCTGTCCCCTTCTCCCTCATCACCCATCCTCCAGACAGAGCAAAATGGGCTCCTCTCCCAGTATTGCCAAGCCCACTCCACAAATGCCCCAGGTCTGGAGTCCCTGGCCACCAGCACATTGTCTTGTAGGGCTGACCCAGATCGTTCCAGCTGCAGTGGACACTCAGAAGGGCAGCCTGGATGGAGATACCAAGGAAATCAGCACCCTGGCCGTGACTCCCCGGTCACCAAAGCCCTCAGCGTGGTCACCCAAGGAGGCTGAGCTTGCTCTGCAACCTGGCCAGCTTCAGGTTCTCAGAATGTGTGTTGAAGCTGTCACCAGTGAGCACGTGGACTTCAAAGTAACTATGAAAGCTATAGGAACAAGAAGTAATGCGTTCATTCATTAGCAACAAATTACACTAAATTATCTTAGCAAATAAGGCAAAATGTCAGCTCAGTGGCTGGCAGAGACACATGTTGGTCCTTACTCCCAGCGCCCTGAGAACGGGGTCACATTCTGCAGGAACCACTTAGGAGAGGATATTGAAACACAAGAGGCAGGAAGGGAATGGGATAGGGTGCAGACTAGGACCCTGGGAGCCTGACAGTCTGTGAATCATGCGACTAGACAGGTAGACTCCCGATAGGTAAGTTTTAAGACTGAGGAAGGACTAGAGGCCAGAGACCTTGCAGGAGGGTAGTGGAAGGCAGTGGAGGAGGAAAGATGCTATACTCTTGTCACTCTGGATAGAGCAGGTCTGCAGAACCATGGAGGCCACAGAATATCCTGGGGCAGAAGCAAGTTTTGAGGCAGGGAGGAAAGAAAACAGGAAGAGCGTGAAGGGCGCTTCCTTGAGCCTGGCACACGCACACAGACTGCTGGGCTGCAGCGAGCAGGACAGATGGTCCTTCCCTTCGTGGTGCTGGAGGGAGGGAGGGAGCCAGAACCTGCCATGTGACTGTGCACATCTGGAGGCCTTGGGGCGACAAGGGAGGGAGAAGGGGAGGCAGTGGAAGAGGAGGGAGCCCCCTTTCTCCTGTCCTCAGGTGAAGGGGGCTGAGTCATCATCCCTGACACCCCATCTTTTCTCACTTCCCTGGAGCCTGGGTGCCTGGTCTGACCAAGGGTAGGAACTCAGGGTTCCTGCTCTCCTCTGGGTCCCACAACACAGGGAATAGGGCCCCTCTCTTCTCCACACTAAACAAGATTGCTTCCTTTAACCTTTCTTGCACCTGTATTGTCTGTGATTCCTTTAGTGAGAAAACAAATACCCTTTGGTCTGATTCAGTCATCACTGAGAACAGCTGGCTTGTCTCATGTGCCTGGTCTCCAAAGCCTCGGCTCAGGGCTGTCTCTCTGAATCCTATTTCTCATTAACTTGTAAGCTAGGCAGGAGCCCCTGGGGTACGCACATCAAATATTTAGCAATGATCTCAAACAGCTGCATCAGAACTTCTAGGGGTGGGGCCCAGGCGCTACTCTTAATAAAACTTTCTTAGGTGATTCTAAGGTGCAGCCAGGGTTGAGAATCATTGGACGAATGTGATCTGGAGCTGTATCACTAGGAGCTCAAGGATCAAGGAGGTGAGAGGCTGATCTACTGTGAGCTGAAACATTTTGATCCATGGTAGGGCCTCCATCTGAAAGGGACAACAATGAAACATGTCCAGAGGAGGACAATAGGGGTGAAGAAATCATATGAGCTGAGGGAAGTTGAGGGGAGGGGGTTCTTTTGCTTCTCAGGTGCTGGGGAAAGGCTGGGGACAAAGGTCGCAGACCCTCTGTCTCTGAGGGCTGGGATGTGCACGCCCCGTGAGACCCAGTGCTTCCTGTGCTCTAATGAGCACCACCTCATTAGTGGTGAAATAGTGTCACCATAATTACCTGGAGCTGGTGCAGCCAAATGGCCAGGTCATGAACACCCTCAGACACAAGTGCAGGGAATTTAACTTGCCCTGAGGCACCTGCATCCAGTGAGATGCTGATGAACGTGGCCCCATTCCTGTGGTCAGGTGTGGTGGGTACGGGATGCAGGGCTCAGCCCAAGGCCCAGCGCACACTCAGACGGCTGCTCCCACCCCACCCAGCAAGAGGCAGACGCACTCACCTCCAAGACTGGGGTCCCAGAACCACGAAGACCGCTAGCTCCTGGGGAACTGAGGCGGGGCCACCACGAGGTAGGTGATGAAGGGGAAGGTGGTGCAGGGCGGGTGGGGGAGAAAGAGAGGCCCACAGGCCCTGTCTGCTGCTGAGTCGGGCTCCGTGGCGGAGTCCCTGAGAGCCTGGCTGGGGCGGCAGTTCCCAGCACCATTTTTGCCCTGTCTAGAATCCATTTTGCTAGTGGCCCTAAGTGTTCTTCATTTACAAGTTCTTGCTGCCACAGGGACTGGCTACAAAGGCAACCCAGGGGCTTCCCTGGTGGCACAGTGGTTGAGAGTCCGCCTGCCGATGCAGGGGACACGGATTCGTGCCCCGGTCCGGGAAGATCCCACATGCCGCGGAGCGGCTGGGCCCGTGAGCCATGGCCGCTGAGCCTGCGTGTCCGGAGCCTGTGCTCCGCAACGGGAGAGGCCACAGCAGTGAGGGGCCCGCGTGCCAAAAAAAAAAAAAAAAAAAAAAAAAAGGGAAGAAAGAGAACTGACTTGAGAAAATGGTAAAGAAAACAGAAAAAGAGTTGCAGAACTGTATGTACGATTTTCATTTTTATAAATGTGTAAGCCTGGGGAAAAGTCTGGAAGGCTATCGAACCCTTAGCAGTGCTTCCCTCTGAGCGGGGGGACTGGAGGTAAACACAACCACTCTATACATTTCTGTATTGTTTGCGTTTGTGGTGTTTGAAGCTTCTGCCCCCCCCCCCACACTCTCTACGTTCCGGCTGCTCACTTCACGGCAGCTCCGCTCCTGCCCCTCTGTGAGTGCCCTGCACTTGGAGGCCTGGGTTTTGGACTCCTCAGAGCAAACTTTGGCTTCATGTCTCAGTTTAAGACTTGGGCCTTGCATCAAGATCTTTGGCCATTGCCCAGCTCAGAATCTGCCAGGGTCTCTGCTCATTGGCCCACAGGTACCAGCAGCATCCCACTTGGCAACCACCTCCCGGGATGAGCAAGGTCAGGTGCCTCTCCCCGAACAGGCCCCATGGAAGGTGCCGTCCCTGCCTGTGAGTGGAAGCAGAGTGCTCTGAAGAGGAAGCAAGCAGGTAGAGAAAGGTAGGGCACCCCCCCACACACACACCCAGTCCCCTCCTCCTGAGTAGTCAGGGCCACTAATTGGTCTTCACAGCCTTGGTTACATATGGTCCTGGAGGTGAATTCTGGTCACACCTAAAGCCAGGAAAACGAACCCTTGCTCTGTCCCCTCTTTAATAGGGATGTGACACCTGCAGGCTACAGCTTGTCACACTGTGAGAATTATTTCTCCATTAAAACGCAGGAGTTGGAGTTTTGCCCAGGAAGGCAGCTAAAAGTACTGCTCTCTGGGGCACCAGTCACCAGGGGACTTAGTGGCCACCTTCCTCACTCTCCAGCCCCCAGGGAAGTCCCACACCTGCCGGATCCCTCCCTTGAGTATTTGATACAGCATCATGTCTGAGCCGCCCTGTCAGAGAGAAAAAGCACCGGTTACCGAGCCTGTTTTACTGATGGGCAAACTGAGGTTCAGACAGCTTGCTCTGGGTCACTGTCCTGCATCTACAAAATCACGGAGGCAGCAAGAGTGTGCGGCCCGACTGCGGGGAGGGAAAGATAAGCCGTCACGCGTGCCCAACACTTTACAGTTTGTAGTGTCTTCTTCCTGCTTTGTCCAACCCTCGCAACGATCCTATGAAAAAAGAACTACTATTGTCCCCACCTTACAAGTGGGGTTGATGCCTGGTGAGGTGAGAACACGCTCAAGGGCACAGGGGGAGATAAGGGGCAAAGGCAGAGCCTCAGCACAAGGCTTTTGATTCTAAAACCCACCCAGACCAGGGGTGGGACTTCTAGCAAGGTCTCATCCCCAGGGTCATCGACTTTAGAAGAAGCACCCCAGTTTGTAAAGAATGCCACATACTTTTCAGAAGAGGACTCGTCACCCCTTCTTAATAGATAAGGAAATGAAGGTTTAGGGGGATGAAGGACTTGGTCACAAGGTAGTAGCAGAGCTGGGAAAAAAATGTCAAGTGTCCTGACCCCCAGCCCGGTCTCCTCCAGCTGCCCCAGGGCCTGCAGAGCTCGGGGACTGATTGGCTGGCCAGTTCTGAGACCCTGGCACCCGGGGCAAATGAGCCCTGTGCACTCTGCAGGCTCCCAGGTCCCTGAACCCGGTTCTCTGGAAACTGTTTGCCTGCCACATTCAAGCCCTCTTCCCAGTCTTTGGAGCCGGAAGGTGGTGAAAACCTCAGGCCCATTTTTCATATAAGAAAACTAAGGCCCAGAGAAGCTAAATGCCCAGCTCAGGATCACAGGGTAGAACTAGGTCCTGCACCCGGACCTCTGACTCGGGCCTGGTGCCCATTCCACTGGGTCAGCCAAGAACAGCACACAGAGCTCCTTTCCTGTGTCAGCTTCTTATTGGGTCTCAGCTTCCCCATCCATGAAATGGGGGCATTAGCCCTTAAACAAGCCTGAGGTCTGAGTCTTCTGAGACAAAGCTATTAGTCTTCTGAGATAAAGCTATTTCGGGGTGGAGCCCCCAAAAGTGACCAAAGGGCCTGGCTTTCTGGACAGCCAACATCACTTTACCAAGGGGGAAACTGAGGCTAGAGAGGGGGTCATGGAGACCCCGTGACTTAAGGACAGTGACAGTAAGGAGATCCAGGTATCCCTACTCTGGCTTCAAACGTCCAGAAGGGAACCCTTCCTGCCAAGTCCCGCTGCCCGCCCTACTGCCACACATTTTGCAGAGAAAAAGCTTTCTACAAAGGCGTTTATTTTTCCCAAAATACACCACCAGTTAACAAAGTTCCTCAGAGTCCCATATTTAAATTAGAAATCCCCACATCTTTCATTCCTGGTGAAGGGAGGGATGTCAACAAGAGGACATCAGATCATCAGAAGTTTACTCCACTGGAGGCTGGGGACCGGCCAGAGACAAGCCAGGAAGTGGCTGCCCAGCCCCAGAATAGCACCATGGTGGGAGAGGGGGCTGTCCCTGCCCCCAAGCTCCAGCCGGCGAGGAGAGGCCCCAGGCTTCCCCTGTGCTGCGGCTCTCAGCTTCCCGGGGTCTGTCAGGCCTTGGCCGCCTGCCCCCCTGCTCATGCCTGGAAAGACACTTTGGAAACCATCAGATTCTCCAGTCGTGGTGAGAGGCTTTGTCCGTCTCTCCAGGCTTCTGCCCCCACCCTCTGTTCTGGGTAAGGATTAGGGATGGGACGGGAGTGAGGTATCCAGGGAAATGCGGTACAGAGGAGGAGTATAGTAGCGAGCCAGGCAGGAGCCCCTCACAACCACCCTCCTCACGGGTTTCCCAGCTGAAGGGCAAGCTCCTTAGGGAGGGGCTTGTCTTCTCACCTGGGGTCCCCAGCACCTAACATAGCGCTGACACCCCATAGATGCTCAGTGAACATTCCTTGAGTGGATAAACGAAAGGGAAGTCAGGAAAAGCAGAGGGACAGAAGCTGACCCCAAGGGGGCCCACACAGCCGCCCAGAGACCCAGTGTGACCAGCACGTGCTTCCCGTGGGGAGGGCGGGCAGAAGGTGGGGCTCACAGGGCACAGCCCAGGGTGCCACGGAAGAGACGGGGCCAGGGGAGGTCCTCACGTGTTCCAGCACGTGTACCTGCATGTCTGCATGCCTGGGGGAGGGGCCCTGTCTTCACTTAGTAGGACAGGGGAAAGGCCAACTTTAGGGACAGAGCAGAAGGAGAAGCCTCTAGACTCGAGGAAATGCTAAGGCTGCAGTGGCCCTGTCAGAGGAGACAGAATTACGGGCAGGTGGGAGAAAAGGCTGAGAAGTGATACTTGGTGACTGTGTATCACATCTTTGAAGAAAAAAGGCAGCCAGCTGGTCCATGTAGCATATCCATCGGAGAAATAAGGCGGCAGGATGATTTATGTATCGTGTCCCTGGAGAAATAAGGCGGCAGGATGACTTGGGAATCACGTCCATCGGAGAACTAAGGCTGCGGGGAGGTCTATGTATCGTGTCCTTTGCAGAATGAGTAGACCCACTAGAGTAGGAGCCATCTTTTAAGGGCAGAGAAGCCCCCAGCCTAGGGCTCAGGCTGAGGCCCCAGTGCAGCCAGAGGCGGGAGCCCCAGGGCAGGGCAGCAGCTCCCTGGTCCTCGTGGTCAGGCTATTTCTGGTCCATCATCTGCATTCCACGACAGGAAGGAGAAAAGCGGGGAGAGCATTACGCACCCGGGTTCCACTGTCGGGAGCGCGCCGCAACTCCAGGGCTGTGGCCACGTGCTCAAGGGGAAGAGCATGTGTGACAGGGCCCAGCAGTCTGACTAGCAGCCCCCTGCATCAAGCACTGCCCTCGAGGCTCAGACACACACACACAAACACACACAAACACACACACACACACACACACACACACACACACACAGCAGCTGGGCATCAGACAGACCACGAGGGTGCCCGGGGGAGACTGCCCAATCCTCGCCAGCCTCTTTCTCAATCCACAGGGGTTCACCCACCCTGCACGCAACCCTCCCCTCTGTCTGGCACACTCTTCCCTTCCCAACTCTGCCCCCACACCCTCCCTGTCCTTTGATCCATCTTCTTCACCCCATAGATTCACACCCCTGGCCTCACTCCACTCCCTGACCTGCACGGAGAGTTTAGAAGATGGACCGGGGCATGTGTGACCCTGCCCCTCCCTCTCCCATCCTTTGGGCTCCATCTGTCCCTGGAAGAGTAGCTCTCCCTTCTGGGGACTGCCTCTGTGCTTGTCCAGCCTGGCCAGAGACCAGGGGGCCAGGCTGCCACACTGGGGAGCAGGGTCAGGCGGCCCCCTGCTCCACACACCCAGGCTGACGTTTTGATCTCCATCTGCTCGATCCTTCTATGCCTCATTTGGTTCAGGACAAGGGGGAGGTGGATAATTTATCTCCATCCCTCCAGACCCCAACACAGGCCTCCACTCCTGCCATGGAACGTTCTACAGCATTTTGAAGGACTTGCTTTACGGAGCACTTCTGCATTTGGCACCTTGGCATCTCGTAAGGGAGGTGTGACAGGAACCCCCCTGGAAGGTTATGGGCAGAGACTTAAAGCGAGGTCTCCCCTAGGGGGCTCTTTCTTCTGCATGATGCTGCCTTTCTTAAGACCCCCTCACCCAGCTTTTATCATGAATTCTGCACAGGTTTCTGAGGGTCCCACTGCCCCCCACCTCTGGGAGTTTCCTGAGCACAGGGCCTATGTCCTTCCTTCCTTTCTTCCCAAAGAAAAGCTAAATGCAGGGATGAGCCTCCAGGGACTTGGTGAAAGTTTATTTCCTAACAGGGACAACAAGGCAACCTGAAAATTATTTAAGGCTCCATAACCTCTGGCCAAAAATTAAGGTCCCAAAACCTTTGATTTTCTAGCTGGAAGCCACTCATATTTAATGACAAGTCTGCATCAAGGAACAGTTTGTTCAAAATACACACGCACACAGACACACACACACAGAGATACACATATATTTATATACAAACACACATACGTAGGTGTGGCTCTTGGTTAACTTTTTTTTTTTTTTTTTTTTTTTATTTGCGGTATGTGGGCCCCTCACTGCCGTGGCCTCTCCCGTGTGAGGGAGAGGGCCCAGCCGCTCCGCGGCATGTGGGATCCTCCCGGACCGGGGCACGAACCCGCGTCCCCCGCATCGGCAGGCAGACTCCCAACCACTGCGCCACCAGGGAAGCCCTCTTGGTTACTTTTAATAAGGAAGAATCTCAAACTAAACTAACCTCCAACCAACCACTTGCTAATGTAACTGCTGATGTTACAGTAATCTAAATAATAATGATTGCTAATACTTACTAACCACTGACTATGGACCAGGAACGTGGCTGTCTAGCTGAAAACCACATTTCCTAGCCTCACTTGAGTTAGGAGTCATGTGACTAGGTTCTGACAAATGGATATAAACGGGAGTGACGGGAGCTATTTCTAGTCAAGCCCTAGAAGAAAATGTCCCCTCCCTCTCCTCTTTCCCCCTTACTTCTGGAGGGGCTGGAGCAGCTACTCCGGACCTGGGGCTGGAAGCTTTGAGTGGAAGAAGACAGAAACCAGGTAGTGGAAGTTGGTTCCAGGGCACCAGTGGCCTTAAGACAACCTCGACTCCTGTCCTGGTTAAGCCTCTATCATATTTGCATCCTGTTAGAGCAGCAGGGACCTTGGTTTCTCTGCCATTTCAACAGGGGGGAATCGAGGCTGCTCTTCTGGGGAGGGAGCCTCAGGGCAGCAGTGAAGGGTGATAATCACCCCCATCAACAACAACCCTCCCCAGCCTCCTACACACAGGCGCAAACGCAGAGACACACGATCTCAAACACCACGTGTCTTTACCTTCTTTGCTTTCAGAGTGTTTCAGAGGCCGCAGGGCTGCAAAAAAAGGAAGGAGTACACAGTGAGGGGGGCACCGTGAAAAGTGGTGGGGTAGGGTGTTGGGCAGAGGCACAGGAGCCAAGGAAGACATAAAGGCTAGAAGAACTGGGAGAAGGCAGGAGGGACAGTTGAGAGGGTGAGCACAACATCACAGCACCAGAAAAGGGGCCCTCGGCTGCTATCCCAAGTTCCAGCTCCACTCTGTGGCTTGTCACTCCTCCCCCGCGCCTCAGTTTTCTGCATCTCTACAATGGGAACAACTCCCCGGCCCTCCTACAAGCTGGAGATGTGAGAGTACGCTGAGCTGGCTCTACAAATAGGGTGAAGTGAGGCACTGAAGGAGGCTGCAAGTGTCCCCCGGTGGGCCTGGGATCGTGCAGAACTGGGACCCAGTGCTCTCTAAGCCTCCCTCTTCTCCCCACTCCCTCCCTTCTGCCAATTATACCTGCCTCCGAGCATGAAAAATGAGGCCTGATCCCAGGGCTGTCTCCACACTGGCCACACCCGGGGACACCAAAGGCAGAGAATTAATTGACATAATTTACAGCAGTCCCCAGGGGTCTATTTCCCGCCCTTCCTTCTGCGGGTGTTGGGGGCAAGCTGTGTCAACTGGCACCATCCCAAGTGGCTCAGTGGGAACCTGCCTTCCCCAGCTAAGAAGCCCAGGGAAGAGAAGGCAGTGAGGCCTCCAGCCCCCGCTGGGCTCCAGGCTCACGCCATGCCCTTTGCAAAGTCACTAGAGATAGCTTCAAAATGGACCTCTGGTGCCATCAGGGCAGGACGACATTTTACAGATGAGAAACTGAGGCCCAGAGGAACAAAGCACTTGGACCAAAGTCACACAGCCTCTAAGCAGAGTGGGACTGTGTCAGGCTGATAATACAGTCCTAATAACAGGACTGCAAAGTATGGAGCCCTTACAGGCACCAGGTATGACACTAGGCCCTTTAGATACATGATCTCATTTAATTTAACCCACAGAACCTATGAAGGGAGCAGTCAGGAGGAGACTGAGACCCAGAGAGGCAAAGTGACTTGCTCAAGGCCACTCAGCTTATATAAGCTGGAGCTGGAACTAAAACCCAGGCTGCCCTGTCTCCTGAGCCCTCACTCCACCCCTAGGAAGCCACCAGACTCCACAGTGCAGGTCCCTCAGGGTTGAGTAGCCTGGTAGGCGGGTAAAGGCAGAGGCAGGAGACACGAAGCAGCACCCGGGAGACCTGCCTGAGGTCTAACGCTGAGCAAAGACAGACGCACCTAGGTTGGGAGGCCTCAGTCCCCGGGACACACTTCATTCAAACCTTCAAGTGAACGTGGCCCCTCCAGACGCTGGAGTCCTCTCCCCTGTTCAGTGCCAGCTCTTAGCTCAGACTTACCCGTCTTAGATCCTTCTCCATCCCCATCCTGGTCCTCAGCGCCTGGAAGAGTGAACCAAAACTTCCTCAGCCCCACTTTCATCGTTGAACTTCTGCTCCCGGGAGCACGAGAGCAGGTAAATGGGGCTGAGCAGGCCCGGTCTATGGTCCAAATGCTGGACACAGGGTCAGAGACCAGCACAGAGCAGAGTTCTGTGGCAGGACGAAAGGGACCCCAGCCTGGAGCCCACCACTCACCTGGCCAAGGACCATCTACCTGCCCCTCCACCATCCACCAGCCCCATCACCCACCGTCCACTCACTCACCAACCCAGTCAGCCACCACCTCCAACGTGCATACCCACCCGTCTATGGTTCCTCATCCTTCCGCAGCCTGCCCAGCCACCTGCCACACAGGCAGCCACCCACCTGTTCCAACTGACCAGTCTCCTCTCCGTTCACATACGCTCTCCTTCCTGACACCCAGTCATCTCCCACCCCTCACCGTCTACTTTCATGTTCACCCACATACCACCCACCAGGGTCAACGCACCCACTCACCAATGTCCACTCACTCACCCACCACTCACTAGAGTCAACTTACCTATCAAGGTCAAACCACCTACCTATCGATGTCGACTCACCACCAAAATCACCAAAGTCAACTCCTGCTGACCCCCCAGCCCAAGCAAACAGCGGCTGCTTCAGACCCTGCCCCACCTGGAGGCAGACACACCCCCTCACGGTGACAGCAAACCCACGAAGCAGCCAGGCTTGTGCTACGCGAGTTCCACGTGCTTTCACTCACAGACACTCCCATGTGACACAGGCTCTCACAGTCACGCTTGTTTGCACAGACACATCCATCCCCTTGTCACACATCCACCACTCGCTCCCAGTCACACTCATACCCACACTCATCCCGCCATGTCTGCACACTCCCGGGCAGGCTCACACTTGTTCACAACACATGTTCGGCCTCAAGATCACACACACAGTCTAGCTGCATTTGCACACCCACACTCATTCTGTCACTGCAAAGTGACACTCACGTTGATGTCACAGACACACTAACATACCCAGAGACACACACACGCACACACGCACACCCCCCTCTCTCACTCACCTGCATTCTCTTCCTCACAGCTCTGTTTGATCTTTCTCCAGCACACGAAGGCCAGGGCCACCAACAGTGCGACGAGACAGACAGAGAGCCCCACGGTCACCCACAGGGCCTCAGGGGGGAATGTCATGGGCTGCCCTGGGAGGGGAGGTGGGGAGAATGGAGACAGACTGTCATGCCTGGCCCCCAGTGGCCCTGAGGACAGCCCCTCTGCCTCCAAGGTGTGAACAGGGGCTCCTACCCTCACTGGGCCCCGACACCATGAAGAGAGCTTACTTAAGTTCCCGGGCCCCTTCCCTGGCCAACCACACACCCTCTAAACCCTGACAGCCGTGGCTGCCGTGGACATGCCTCAACCTGGGAAGGCTGAAGAGTCTGTGGTTGATGATGCTCAAGAACCTTCCATGGCTCCCTACTGACATGAGACTAGTGCTTCAGTCTTCTTCTTTGTAATTCCACTGCTGTAGCCAAACTGGTGTCCTAACCGTCCTCTGCAGAGGCTCCTTCCAGCCCCCTCGCCATTGCTGTCAGTTTCCTCCACCTAAAAGCTGCTCCCCAGCTAGCTTACGATTCCTCCTCGGGAGGCCCTCCCTGATTACCCCAGTCCCACCTGGTGATACCCCCCCCATCTTATAGATCAGGAGCTGGCAAACTACAGCCCGTGGGCCAGATCTGGCCTGTGGCCTGTTTTTGTACAACCCTTGAGTTAATGATAGTTTTACATTTGTAAAGGGTTACCAACAAAAGGAGAGGCAGCAGCAGCAGTAGCAACAAAGACGGTACGTGGCCCACAAAACCTAAACTATACATTATCCAGCCCTTGACAGAAGATGTTTGCAGATTCCCGTGTAAAGATGAGGGCGGACACCGAGGGTGCCAGAGTGAAGGCTCTGGGTTTACCCAAGAGGAGGAGACTTGCCAGGGGAATGTTTCTGTGAAACGCTGAGGGCCCCCCCTGTTAGCTATCTCAGGGCAGAGGGAAGGAGTTGAGCCACCCTCGCCTGGGTCAGGGCCAGCAGCTGTTCTGAGCACACCATCCTCCAGCCCAGTCCCAGGACCCACGCGGGGTCCTGAGCAGAGGCCCTGGAGACAACAAATCTAACAAAAGCCAGGGGGAAGGCAGCGCCTACAGAAGGTGCTGTCAGAGCAGACAGCAGTGCCATGAACCCTTGGGCAGTGGAGACCGTGACACAGATGCAGGGATTTGCAGCCAATGTCACTTTGAACGGGCGTGGCTGGCAACGCTGCCACTCCGGATATTGGCAGCAAAGGGACCCATCACCCTGACGAGCAGGAGCAGGGGAGGAGGACAGGAGCTGATACGAGGGGCCTGGAGGGTCAGTCCCTGATGCTCATGGAAGGGACCTCTGGGAATCCCAGGGTGGGGCCCCTGCAGGAAAGCAGAGCCACGGAAATACCCAGGAGGAGGGGCTCTTGCTATGTCCACCCTCAGGCTGGTGTTGGTGCCTGGAGCACAGGTCAGGCTTGCCCTCATCCCACCAGTCAAGGACAGAGTGGGGCTCAGGCCTGCATCTCCAGGCTCCGTGTCCAGTGTTTGCTCCATAAAGCCCCCTCCACATACAGCACCCCCAGGTGTGGGAGAGACCAGGCTGGAGGACTGAAAGTCTCAATCCCAGAGTGTTTAACAAGGCTCAAAGCTGCCTGAAGCAAAATACAGGCCAAGGGCTCCAAAGTAGGCCAGACTTGCTCTCACAAAAACAGGAGGCTGGGTGGTGGGGAGGAGAGAAAATTAGGCTGAGAGGCTAAAAGTTGGATTCTGGTTCCGGTTCATCTGCTCATGGCAGGCTGCCGGAGCCAAGGTCCACAGACCCCCGTGTTTGAGTTTAGAGGTGCCACAAACCCTCAAAACTTAAATGCAAGTGACTGCATTTATCATGCATCCAATTTTCAGAGAGGTGTCTAATCACCGAAAGAGTCAGAGCCACTGTGCTAGCCTGTGGCCTTGGGAAAGTTCTCTCTTCTCTCTGGGTTCCAGTTTCCTCATCTGTGAAATGAAAGCACTTTAAATGTCAGCTACTGAAATTTTCAATAAAGATTTTTCTCTTAGGTGGGGTAAATGTCCCCAGTGAGCAGGAAAGGAGGATGGCAGCTGACATGAGAGGCCGGTCTATGAAGCACACTGAAGAAACCCCTGGGGATCCCAGGGTGGGGCTCCTGCAACAAAGCATGGAGCAGAGCCACAGAAGTACCCAGGAGGAGGGGCTCTTGCTATGTCCACCTCTAGGCTGTTGTTGGTGCCTGGAGCACAGGTCAGCCTTGCCCTCATCCCACCAGTCAAGGACAGAGTAGGGCTCAGACCTGCATCTTCAGGTACATGAGTATAACCACATTTATATTCACAAGCCCTTTCTACACAGTGTGGCAAATATCCAATTCAGCTCAGTGTGCAAATTATCACAGAGTTCACCAATCCTTCAGGGTCCCCTCAACTCCCACCTGTCCCTAGAGACTTCTCCTGAAACTCCAGCGCATTCTGACCACCCCCCCCTCTCTGAAAGCTTCACATTCTCTGTCAATCCTGCTCTATCTAATATTTCTGATTCTCTCCTGTGGATACATCAGACCATATACTGTTCTCTAAAAGGTCAAAGAGACCCCTCGGGACATCCAACAGCCCAGGGCAGTGACTCCTCCACGGAAAGTACAGACCTGAGGGTCTCCAGAAAGAGGGTGGGATCAATCTTGGGGAGGGGGTGGGCAGAGGGAACACAGCCTTGCCAGAAGGAAAACCCTAAAAGAGAAGGAGGAATGAGCCTGAATTTCTAGAAGGCAAGTGTGATGGCCACTGCCTCTGAGCTTGCAGAAGTGAAGGCCACGTAATGTCCATGTAAGTGGGGGCAACAGGAAGATAGGAATAAGTCTGTGAATCCAGAGGCTTATGCAGAAACTGGCCACCAGGGGGATTAGGACTTGCATGGGCTGTGGGTCGGGTGGAAGTCATGGAAGAGAAAATAGGAGAACCAGATGGACAGAACGTGCTGTTCTGACCCCAGAGAATGCTGGGAGACCCTTGGGAAAGCTTAGGTGGCCCATGAGGAGGGACAGAGGAGCCAGAATGAGGTCCAAACAAGGATTAAGACTGCCTCTCCTGGCCTGAGTGTGGGCCTGAGCCCGCTTCACCTGAGTGGCACTCAGGTGGGCACTAAAGGAAGGGAAGTGCGTCTGGGCTAGGACCCCAAAACCAGAGATTCCGGCAACTACGAAGGGGCGGCGTTGATCTAGTGTTTGACCACATGGGGGCAGCAGAGAGAGCCCGGCTGTTCCCAAGGCTGCCTGGGTCCCGCTCAACTCCATCAGGAGAGCTGACGTTGATGGAGTGAGAGGTATGGCCACCTGGAGAGGCCCAGCTGTCTCTCAGGGCCTCGCAGTCAGATGGTGCCCAGCATCAGATGGTGATGTAGCAACACCTTCCCAGCACTTGGAGAGGTTCCCGTAGGAAAGCACTCCAGAGCCATGCCTTGTGGCTGCTCCAGAACTCCCGCCCACACCTCCAGATCCAGGCAGGTACTCAGTTCCCTGTACAAGAAGCACAAGTACCACCTAAGACACTCTTAGAAGGGCAAACACTACAAATGATTCCTATCAGCTCGATAAAGCAAGTCCCTTAAGGACTTCTTGGAGTAGAGTCTGAAACACCTGAAATGTATGAAAATGTTTTAAGTCTTCTGACCACCCAAGCCTACCTAAATTCCAGCTCAGGGTCCAGATAAAAGGCAACGGCCCCTCTATCCTTCCCCAGCTGTTCGTCTGCCCCTACCTGTGATGGTGACAGAGCCATGAGCGTCCTGCTGCAGCACGGGGTTGCGCACCAGGCAGCTGTAGGTGCCATTAGCGCCCAACACCACCCTCAGGACACTGCGCACGTCGAACAAGCCCTGCTCGTTAGCCATCTGCGATGTGGTTACGTTGCCAGTCAAGGGCGCACCCTGCCCATCCTGCCAGAACACTTCGGCCTCGGGGTAGCCCCGGTAGCTGGAGCACGTGATGGTCACCGTGTCCCCGGGCCGCAGGTCCTTGTTGGGCTCTAGGGTCATGCTGGGCTTTGAGTAGGGGGCTGGAAGAGAGCAGAGGGTAGAAGGCAGAGGTCAACGTAAGGCAAGGGCAGCGGGACACAGTGGAGGGGAAAGGTGCCTGGGGCCGTGAGGACACGGGTCAGTCCTGGGTCAGTGGGTAAAGGGGCTGCGGGAAGTATGAGGAGTGTGCCAAAGGGAGGGGACCCCCTCCCCTTCGCGGCTCTCACCTGCCACCTGCAGGCTGACCGCGGCGCTGCCGAAGTCCCGGATGCTCACGAAGCAGGTGAAGCTGCCCTCATCAGCCACGCGCACGCGCTGCAGCCTCAGGGACGCGTT